TTTGATGCACTGTAACTTAAAGTGGGGAAGAGTCAATAGAAAGTGAGGGCGTTTGACTAAGTGGTTTGTGTGGCTTTATAGCATGTCTCAGAGCTCAGCTGAAGCTCTGTGCTATCCTCTAGGACTGTAAACAACACATACACACTATTTGCACTGTGTGTATCTGATGGTTGCTGGTGTACAGTAAACTCCAGCTGTCTAAATCTAGGTGTCTCTGGTGCATTCTGTATCATCAGCTCTCCTCTATTTTGTAGCTGTGAAGAAACTGGGAACAGAAATACATGTGCAGTACATGGCATCAATATTTGTAAAACTTTAGTTGTGTTACCTGCATTGTTTTTGATTCTGGAACGTACTTATCCATGCCATCCACACACAAACAAAGACACACACAAGATGAATTCATGTACAGTATAGAAGCTACTTTCGGCTGCTCCCTGTTCACAGCATGTAGCTGGCAGTTTTACGTCTGATGCCCTTCATGATGAAACCGTTTGTGTGCCAAGCAATTCTTGTACAGTAGGCACCATCTAAATGGGAATAAATCAAATATTGTAGCAAAGAAATTGCAAGTTCAAGACACCCTCTCCTAAACCTACTGTCTTTTGTCTTTTGCTCTGAAATGAAAGGGCTGGTCCTCTGCGGCTAGAGAGAAACAGGAAAATAGGCCATCGGTATTCTTTGGTTCTCTCTCAGCTTCAAGGAGTCATTAAACATGGAGAAGCTGGAGTGCGATGGACCTTGGCGGTCTTTCCTTTTTCTTCTCTCCGCTCCTCATGGCTGTTTCAGTCTTTGTGAATATACATTGTTTCTCAACCGAAGTGCTTGTTTAGAGGTAAGGGCCTGAGTTCTGCTGGATTCAGGGGACAGACAGAAAATAGATTCTCTCTGCTGAGTCTGTCCCAGTGGATGGAGCGTGATCACTAAACAAAACAGTTGCTTCCAAACTGGCTTTGTGAGCCATACCTCCTCTTAATGTTTTAATTTAAAACCACAGAGTGTCATGTTTAGTGGCAGTCCTCAAACACAGACTTCTGAACAACCTTAATTAGAGCATAAACAGAAAAGCTAGTGCTCCACATGGGGGAAATATTTAGGAGGGAAATAGTAAAACTCAATAAGGTGCTGAGAAAAACTGAAAGCTTAAATACACACATGAGGTAATTAGGGAGAGAGGACACAGCTGGAGGTCAAAACTGCAGGATTATGACACAGAGTCAAAAGAATAAAGTCCTGTCACAATTATTAGCTCATTAGTTCATCATTACTTGTAATATTCTACAATATGCTGCAGTGATGTGCTTTTCCCTGTCAGAATTACTTTTCTACATCATTAAATTTTTGTTAGATCCCTAACATTATTGTTATAGCTGCAAAGTTAAAAGAAGCTGCACGGGATAAGTGGTGTAAATAGCAAAAATGTTCTTTTAGCAGTAGTATTAATGTTCTGTCAGATAGAGAAGTCACTACATAATATCTTACCAGTACTTCAAAGCATGGCTTAGCTCTGGTCGATACTCTGTGTTAAGATTTTGTTCAAACATCATTAATGTCTCCTACTATTTTACAAAAGACAGCAAATCTCGTAATGCTAGTTTACTTTCTTCATTTATTACTTAAGAGGTATTTTTAGTTTTAAACTATTTTCGAAACAGCTAATCGTGAGCTTGTACATGCAACAAAAAGTGATCGTCATCATGTATCTGTTTGTTTTCGTCCTTTTTAATGTGCATTGTAACTTGGTAGCACCTTTGTGTGTTGGTTTGGTCTGGTTATTTTGTTCTTGACTGTTACTCCATTTACTGTACTGTTGCTCACTCAAGCAGGCAGTGCTATCAGCAAATCATTTGAACCCTGTGTTCTGTAGTTGTGTGTGTATGTGTGTGTGTTTGTATGATTTCATATACAAAGAAGAAAACAACATGTGAAATGGCATTTTCTCTGGGCACAGCATGACCGAGGATTTCCACTGTTTTCTTAATCGTTGTGTGTTGACTCTGTGTGCCTCTGTGTGTCTCTTTGTCACTGTTTGTTAGTCACGTTTAAAGATAAAGGGCTTAATGTTACGTTGTTCGACCCCTACATCTTTTGTGCAACCCTGTTGGCTATATCCATGCACACATGCGGTTCAATTTCAGTGACTTACATGAACCATTGACCCCAGTGCAGCTTAAACTCCTGTCAGTCTGTATTCACTGAGCTGGTACAACTGTTACAAAACAAACGATTTATTTTGTTCGGCTTATTTAAGGTTCCTGTTTTCTCCAAAGCACTGTCTGTATTTCTCTTTTTCTCAGTTTTTTATTTTATTAAATTTTATTTTTTGCTTTTTTGACAGCAGATTTTTATCTCAAAGTGTTACACAGGACCCAGATTCTCTGTCAGTTACTGTGGCTTTGACTTCCTTATGAAGACTGTGCTATATTTGAGTAATTATTGGAGAATTATTGCTGTTAATGTTAAACTGGTAATAATATTGACCATTGATTCATGTGTTCAGTTATTGTTTGGAACACAAAGATCTATTTGTATTTTTGGAATATGTTGTTACTTCTTAAAGTGGAAAGAAAATACTAGAAAATATAACTAACTATGACAGAAGCTGCCAGAGAGAAGATAGAAATTCAGGAAACAAAGTCTCAGGATGCAAAAAAAAAGAACTTCTAAAAATAAAACACCCTGCACAAAGCTGGCAGGAGAATACAGAAAGTCATGGTGGGAAAAATGGAGCTAACTCAACTGAAACAAACAAGAGAAAGCAGGACAAACAAAAGGAGGT